CCCCCCCCCCCACCTCCACTCCCCATCACCACCACCACCACCACCGAACCCTAGACGAAAGTCTAAATTGGTTGCCAAACAATTTTTACGACTACACCGTTTCTAAAATTCGGTCTACGAATTCCCAGATCTTAGCTTGAAGAACTATTGTGTATGGAACGCCAACAAGTTAATAAGCAGGATTCAATGAACCATTGACGCCTTCTTAGGCTGAGTTCAAATTTAAATAGCGTAAGGTTCCAGGGCTGAGACAGGACTCAAGATCGCATCTAGGTGGTAGAAGTTGCTACTAACAACTATTATGGGTCAAATTCTTAGCCAATTATATGGCTTCCTAGGCAATAAAATATCTTCTGGATCCATTAATTGTATTGCTACCAAATGTCATTTTTGCTCTTCCTGATAAGCGCTCAAATCATCCAGAGTACTACATTAAATAAAGGATCCGACTCTATTTGACAATTCAGAAATGGTGATTGCGCTTAAAGTGACAAGGCAGAAGACTGAGGAATATATTTCCTAATAAAAGGTCCTTTTACGATAATTATACTATATTAATTTTACAATGTATTTCTGCAAAATTATCAGTATTTTCAAAAATTAGGTTAATTACTATTTATTCAAAGCTAGATAGAACGAATGTTGGAGAAAGAGAATAGAGACCTGCCAACTTTCACCAAAATATGAAAAAAAAACTTTGAAAAATTAATTCATTTAAAATTCTGAATTGTAGCACAACATATTGAAATCAGAAAAAAGCAAAAAATTATGACAAAGCCAACAATTCCCCCTCATTAAGAAAAGTCAGATTCCCTCTATTTTCGTTGTCCAAATTCCTGTAAAACTTTTTAGGAGGCTTTTGAATCGTGAAAAAAAGGTGATCCAAATGAAGGAAACATTTCTCCTATCTGGCTTCACCCACAAATTGTATTTTTAGATGGAGAGTGGAAATTTGAAAGATGCATACCTGTGCCTTGCCTTGAGATACAGAAAGGATAATTATGATAACACAATTACTTGATTTGCTAGTCACGTACAACACCCAAATAGAGGTTACTTAACGAATAAGTTCCATTTTACCTATCTTGTTTTTTAAATAATTTATTGACCCTTAAATGCGCCTTATGGAATAGGATTGAGGCAAAACTGAATTCTTCCTTTTTCCTTGGATGCAATTTAATTATCTATTCTTTTGTGGATACTTTATTCTCTTATTGGGGCAACTAATGCATTCATTTGCAATATCAGCCTCGCAGAATTCCAGTTTATTATTAGAAGAGCCGTCTACAAAATGTCGCCAAAAATGAGGTGAATATATTTCAACGAAGAATGTGTTCGGCCTATTTTAATTTGAATTTTTAGAATATTCTAGTTACTTCAAATTATCCAATCTAGGATACGAGGTATGCTGTGTTAAGTAAACAAATTTCTTTAACTATAAAAAGAAAAATCATGGGAAAAACTTTTTTTCAATTTTTAAATGAACCTTTAAATAAGATGAAGAGCGAACTAGAATGCTAATCAATTTCATCCGCATTGAACCGATTGATGTATATTAGTGTAAGTAAAACTTTATGGACTCGTCTTACATCTCCCACTTATTAAAGGCTCTAAAGCCTACCTCTCTACCTATCCAAAACTAGAAAGTCGGTTTATTTACTTGAACGTACCTCCCTACTTTTCCCCATCGAGGAGAAGACAAGGATGCATGTATTCCAACCCAGGTATTAAGAGCATTTTCGCCAATTTGTTATTGCTTAAATCATGAGCATGTAGTCAGTTCCAGAAAAAGAAGTGAGGTGATAATATGAGCCCCATTTCACCGAAGTTGACGGATGAATTTCCCATTCAAAGGTGATTAAATGATAGAATGGGAACATATTCGATAGTTAAGTGACAGCAGGACTTAAATTGCAAAGCACTAGAACAGGACATATAAAAAAAAAGAAACGCAACTGAAAATGCATGTGATTCATCTTCAAACAAAGGTAGAATCAAAAAAGGTATTCGGTTATTGGTTTGAAAATGGAATTCAAACAGTTCTAGAAAACTGCCAATTTAGTACGTCAGCGTGAACTGATAAATGTGTAAAACAATGTCTCAAACTTCACCAACCAAGTTCCTTCGCTCTTAATTTTAAGACATTGAAGGCACTTCTAGTCTTCAGTGTAAATGTATACTAGTTTTAAAAGAAAGCACCTTGTCATTATTCGAAAAATACGTCACCCTGTCTTTACTGTTAAGAAAACTAATTACTCAGAAATAGTAGCGCATTAACGATGATGAGTAGTTATGTTAATAAAAAAAAATAAGAGGCTGTGCTCTTAGACATAAACTATTATTAAATCTTTAAAGCTGTATAGAAGATTTGAGCTCTAGTTAATTATTTCCTTCACAGAACTGAAACCTTGAAACACTAAATACACGCAATACCTACGCTGTCAATCCATACCTTTTAAACAAACTGTAAATAATCCCTTTAGACGATCGATCGTGGCACAGCTAATAGCAATATTTTGCCACAAAATAAGTGTCAAGTTTCACCAGTACCTTATGCCAGTGAGAGTAATTTCTCCTTTGTCCACAATTTGAATAAGTGATATTTAAAATCTTCAAAAGTGGCTTGAAATGAACCACAAATTAATTTATCAAGTAAACTTTCTTGTAAATAATGCTGAACTGAAGCATATTTACCCCCTCCCCCCCCCCCCCAAGAACTTTAAAATTGTAAAATAAACAAGACTGAACAGTACTTGCTTATGTTACCACGAAAACAATGAATTTCTTCTGAGTTGAATTAATTTAAACCGATTGACTGCAACCATTCCTATTCAAATTCTGGACTACACAGTCAAAATCAGTAAACGAGAGTATAAAGAACAAACTAATCTTGCTAAATCTTACAAGAGTTTGTAAACCTCAAAGTTCGAATTGATTTAATACAAGTTTTGGCAATTCAAGTGGGGGGAATAGAAGAATCCTAATGAATAGTGTGAAAAGAAAGTGAAAGGCTAATATGTTCTCAGAGTAATTAACAAAAGAGAGCACTGAATAAATAGTTCAGATACTCTAATCTATGCCATCTTTGGTGATAAACTGAAATATGACAAACTGGGTCACATTTGAATTTTCCATTGAAGAAGATATTCAATACTAATATTAATTTGGCGAACGACTATTACTATCTTCGTTTATTTTTTCCTCTATTTATTCGTACTTTCACAACAAAGAAGGGAATTCAGACAGCTAATACCGTTGTTCAGTTGAAAAAGAGATAGTTTTAGCATGATATTTTACATCCTTAGATTTATCTACAGATTACTTAAGCAGAAATTAAATGAGGGTGAAAAAGGAAATTATTAAATAAGAACCTTCGATACTTCGGAGTTAGGTTTTCCACTACGCAATTTCAAAGAATTTGGATCTCAAATTTCATTAAAAATCACAACTTTTTTTGCTACTTTTTGTTCCAATTTGTTAAAACTATCTAACCTAAGTAACGTTTGGATGTGGGGTGGGCGATAGACTTACTACCATGTGGTGCACCCTGGGCAACGTATACTCATACGACAAAAAATTCTGCAAACCGGCAGTTGATTTCTCACTTCAAACTACCATCATCCCACTGTACGTCATATTCAACCACTTCCACAGTCCTCACCTTACCTTTCTCTGCTTTTGTGTTTGCCTGTCTCCTTTACTTCTGTGGATCACTCTTCTGTCCCCCCCCCCCCTCTCGACTTTTTGTGACTTTGTTTGTTCATTGCCATCTGTGAAGCCCGAAGTCAGCTAAAGGGCTAATGATAACTATCAAAACGTCTGCCATTTGAAATAGGTATGTTTGGATGTTATTAGGATCCCTTACTTTTTAATGAAAAAAGAAATAAGAATTACAAAAAATGGCTTGAGCTGCGTTTACAGAAATAAGATACTCTTTTTTTGTAATAATTCATAACTTATCAAAAATTGGAAAATGATATGAAAAATTATCTCATGATTTCAGCATATCCAAGTTGTCGGAGCAGTTTCAATAAATATTGGCTTGTTAATAATTGGATTCAGATAATCAAAATCCGTCTTTGGGTGTTATTGAGATATAAATGTGGATCATTAAGGCGTTCCCCAAATCAGATTTCTATTCAGAAATGCTAATGGTTAGTAAATATCTCTATCAGTTTTAATATGTAAAATGTAATAGCATTCTGGGCTAATTTGATGTGTTAATAAATATGGGAAAACCTCTTATTTAAAGAATAATAACATGGATTTTGGATCAATTCTAGCCAAAAAAACTTGCACGGTTTCATTTAAATAGGGAAAATAAGCAGAAAACCTCAAAAAGCACAAAATTAAAAATAAAATCCAACCAATTGAGTACAAACAGATCACCTTCTTTATAATTCAACTTGATCAACCTTGATAATTGGTTAATGATTAAGACCATTGAATATAATTTGTCAACACTTACTGTGGGATGACAATTGAAATTTTTTCTTTCTTAGGAGGGGAAATTGGACCGATATGAGAGTGGGCGATTGAAAGTGAACGACGGCTCCCCATCGCAACCAGAATGTCCTCCCCATCCTCTCTAGAAGAATCCGTTTAAAGTAAATGGTATTCTCGGAATTCATAGTATTCAGTAATACTACTATTATTATTTGAATTAATTACTAATAATATTAGTTAAATATCAACATTACTTACGCTTCGCCTTGTGCTGTAGTTTTAGCAGCATTGCTTTCAGCATCTCCGTAAACCAAAGATTTTATTTCCTGATTTATGGAAAATTATATGAAAATTAGTTAACTTTAAAGGTTAAATTAAAACCAATAGAGAAAACTACATACATTTCCCTCCTCCTGTTTTGCATTCTTACCATCCCCCTAAAATATGGGAAAAGATAACAGTTGAATTAAGATATCTCAAAAACAAAATTAAATAAAAATTATAAATTAATCCCCACTATCTTATTCGGTTCTGGTTTTTCGTTTAAGAGGAGAATACCGATCAGTTGAAGGGCTGCAAGTGAACCACCGAGAACTAGAAAAGCCATTGGAACTTTATCAAGTAATTCTGAATTATCAAACAGCCTTTGGGATGGAAAAAAACATTATAAATTAAAACTATCAAAAAATATTAATAATTTATTTCACAATAAAGATATTTACTTGGTTTCATTATTCACCATTAGGTTATTTGGGTTAATATATACAGTTTGAATGGGCGTAAATACAAGAGCTCCAAGTCCAAAACCACCAACAATCATACCAGTAATAAGTGTTCGTTGTTTCGGAAACCACTACACGAATAATTTTTTAGAATTTGAGATAAAGAAATGGTACCGATCCAGCAACCGAAAAAATGATAGCGTAAGAAAATCCGAAACCAAATCCGAGAGTGACAGCATAAGTGAGGACAACGTAGATGAAGCCCTTTTGAATTGTAAAGTATGTTAAAAATACGCTGCCACTGTTTATTATACAACCAAGAATGACAATAGCACGGTAACCCATAAATGGCAATAAGGCGCCACCAATAGGCATAGACACACCCTGCATTGACAAAGCAATAGCAGAAATCCACACAGCCGAACCCATTTCGACGTTGGGATCAACTCTTTGTTTTAAATAGGACATCATATACGTCGCAAGATTGCCTATATTTAATAATCATGGTTTAATAAAAAATACCGATTGTATAAAAATGTCCAAAAGCAAAATGAATTAATATTCCACCGATCACAGATAGAATACCAAGGAAAGTGTCTTTATTTATTGCCTAAGACAAAAATGGCAATAAATATTCTAAAAACATACCATCGTTTAATATGATGAGTTAGATGAAAATTACTGTTGAAGTTGTGACCAACTTTAAAGCAAATGTATTTAGAGGATTTAAACATAATTATGATTTCATATTTCTTAATAATAAAAGCATTATATTAAATTATCTTCTTTAAAATATTTATTAAACTAAAGATCGATTTCATTTATTGCTCTTGGTTTAACTACTTTCAATCGGTTCATATTTAAAATTAATTTTACGATATGTATTAGTTGATACAAGCTGTAAAATTTAAGTTGAATATTGAAAAAATCGTTTACTGAAAATTTATTGACTTATTTAATCTTAAATGGAACATTAATTATCTTTATATTTTTATGAATATAGTGATAAATTTTTGGATATGGCATCGGATAGAAATAATGCGTATCAGTATTTGCTAGATTTTAGTTTTATTGTCAATAATAGGAATCAAAATCCTTAATGTTTTAGAAAATAAATGAAAATTTCTTCTACAATACACAGCCTGAAGTAATTGGAATATTTTAACTGAGCCAATTTATTTGTTAATATAAATGATGTTCTATTTGTTACTCTCTCATACTAAAATCATATTCACGGCTCAGTTTGCTTATATCGCAGCACATTATAACTTGAACCAGCCAATTCTAATCGGCACTGTGGGTGAATGAGAAGTACGTACAATTTTAAGCATATTCGAAACATGGCCATCAATCTGCAATTCTTTATACTTACAACTTCTCGGTTGGACCTTTCCAGTTTCTTTGTGCCTATTTAAGGTATGATGGTCATATTCTCATGCTCAATTCATTTTCCCTATTTCCCCTCCAGCCCCTTCGCAGAACAAAACAAATCATACATTTCATTGCTTTTAGTGAGGTTACGTGATAACGACTAGCCATTACTCCAATTCTAATAGGGCCCAAATTCGAATGTATTTTTCGGTGAGTATTTATGTCTAGTCTGACCATTTCTAAATTATGAAAGTTTACTTGAACTAAATCAATCTAATTCACACATAAAGACTTAGCTATTTCCACTTTCATAATTTCATCCTCCATAATTTTCTTAATAAGCTGTTTTAAGTCAGCATAATTTGTTTTTAAATGCCTTTTAACAATTAAATATCATATTTTGGTTCTTCCATCTTGACGCAGATTTATTATTTGCTGATGGCTCAAGTAGCTACAGAACCCGCGCACCATAACCACAAACTTATTTTCAATGGTTGAATTATAATTATTTCATTTTCAGTCTTAAATAACCCAATGACTCACATTAAATAAATTAGGCCATTACCTCAAAACCTAACATTTTTGTATGTCTGCTATTATTTAGGTTGCCATCACTCAGTTTTAAGTTACCTCTACATCCTTCCTATTTCCTTACCTCACTCTATTTTTCCATAGAACAATCTACGTTAAATCAACCCTAATCTCGACCTTCATATATGGTAAAGTCTTTAGGTCCTGTTAACCTTGGAAGGATCTTTAGCTCTTAGAAGGCAGTTTTCAGCCTAATTTGGGTAGTCTTGTTGAGCAGCTTTACTTGCCATAATAACAACATTATTGAAGCATATTCTACCACTTGGTCTCAACCGGCTACTTTATATAAAAAAAACAAGGAATCCTGTCGAAGTATGAAAGCTTTATAAAATAGAGGACATCTTCGAATTATGATCAAACATTAAGCAAAATTTACGACATGTTATTCAAAAGTTACTCATTCTCGGAGATTCTTAGTTAACTCTATGCTTTCAAATCGCTCGGCTACCATCACTCACTGGCTTATATTGACCAATCGCGTTATACTACGTTCTTCTATTGGTTATCCTTTTGTCCACTATTTTACCCAATAGAATTTGAGCAAAATGTTTACCATATTATAGCGCTTTATAACCCCTAAATCAACTGAATGTAGCATGATATCGCTATTCTTGGTGGAATTAATAATTTTTACTCAGATAAAGGCAAATCAAAATAAGTCAAACCTCAAATTCGCTGTCGCCGTAACTAGGGGTTCCTCTCCTCTATGGCGAAAATTAATCGAATCGTATGCGGAAAATCGTAGCCAATATGTAAACGTAGGTGTATCGAAATTTCTTAAGTTCAAATCTTTTTATTAATCTCATTTGATCTACCATGATACGCTTGAATTTATATATCAATCTGGAAACCTATATTCCTAATTTACAGTCACTCATATAGTCATTTTTTTCATTTTAGCTAGTTCCAACGATTACCGAGACGACTTATCTTGAAGATTCTTCTACTCCAGAGTTGTTGAAACAATTTTCAGTTCTCTTGGTTGATGCATTTGGGGAAATTAGGAATTTATCCGCAGAATATATGGTCGTGCCGTTTGCCTCAGCGTTAGCTCGCGCAGTGTTGTCCTTTCAATATATTATAAGTTATATTTTTTAAAAGTTGTAGTATAGTAATTATAAATGCGGACTGATCATACTTATGTAAGAGTGCCGATAGCCAATAATAGGGTAATTCTATGCATCGTACCACACTTCATCAATAGTATGTAAAGTCAAATTATTGGTGACAATGAGAAGCAAAGGACCTATATGAGTTCCATGAAAAACACAGATTTACCTAGTAACTAAGTGTCGTGGTAATTTTCTGAAAATATTTCTGAGAAAGGAAAGTTAGGAACGTATTTGGCGCCATAATCATAATGATCTCTTTACAACACTTAATATCGTAAGGCTGTAGTTAACTCAGGCTAAATAGAGGAATGGTGGTGGGGGGGGGGGTTGTTGATGGTTGCTCAAAGCAACATTGAATTATTACAACAACGCTTATTATTATATTCATTTATTCGTCTGATACAATGCGTTATATAGCATGTTGCCTTATTGTGGTGTTGAAAGTCAAAACGCTACCTGACCAAAAATAGCTTTTTAATTAGATAAATGTCTGGCTATCAGGAAGTGAGAAGGTCCACGAATTGAAAAGAATGAATGGAGACTGGAAATGGGTTTTCACGATACAAAACAGAAATTCGAGGGTTTGGACTTGGATTCTTCAGTTTCCTATCAGTTTCAACCTTGATCGGAGGCCAGCCAATGCCAAGGAGAGAGGAACCCATTGAATGCATCGTGGTTCTATTCTGGTCTGACCTCCAAGAATTGTTTATTTGTGACCTTTTCAACGAAAACAAGAATTTTTCCTTTTATATTCCTTTTCGCGTGGGTAGTTAAGTAGAAGTAAGTGTATCATTTTAAGAAATCATGGAGAAACCAAGACAATCGGAAGCGTTGAAATTATGCACTCTGAGCTTGAAAAGCATAGAACTTAAAGGTAAATTGCAGATTTTTAGATTTGTGGTGACTTCAATTGAATTGCATCCCATTCATTCAGAGGTATCTATGGTCAGTAAATGAATTTGGAAGAAGATATTCCTGATTTAATTTATTGTCTTGTTAAAGACTGCAATTACCCAACGCATCAAATGGGAGTTGAAAGCAATCATTGGTTTAACAATAATTGATTTACACTTCGGAGTTTTTTTATTTTGCTTGTGAGCCACTAATTTAATTAACTTTTTTAATTGCACCAGAAACATTTTAAATTAAATTTTTTGACTAAAATTCGACCATCAAGTAATTTATATTTTTACTGAATCATATTACATAAATTAATTTTGAGCAATTTTTTTGTAGATCATTGGTGTTCTACTACAATCTTCCAGAAGTTTCAAAAAATTTTCAACTTACCCTGAGTCTGCAAGATATGAGATCCATTTTTACCGGTTCAATCAACACCTGGAATGATGTTCGAATTCGTCACAAGAATCCAGGTAGATTTTCTGACATCATTTACCTTAGTTTGCCAATGGGCTAAATTTTACGTCTTTCTAACAGATCTGCCTGTGCTTCAACGCCCCATAAGTCTCATTGTCAGAGATGATCATTGTCAATCGAACTTCGCTCTTTCAAGCCTACTTACTAATTATTCAAGTATCTGGAAACAGACATACGGGACGATAACCTCTCTGAGAGGCTTAAATGCAAGCGTTAATATGACTCTTTATAGAACCGTTTCTTCTTTCGGAGAATTCAGCCTTCTAAACTCATTACCCTACTCTGTGACATACTCTCTTGATGCTAATCCAACATTTCCAACAATTTCATTTCAATTGAGCTACGGAAATATTGTGAATCCGACAGATTATTGTTATAAGAGCGAAATGTCCAACCACTACCCCTTCGCTTTTAATCGATATGTGATTATTAAGAAAGATCTGGACATTGAACCTTACAATATCTCTCTTCAACGCAAAGATCCCCTGCAACAGTTAAGTGCAGCCTGCAGGTTACAAGTTGAACTCTATCGATTCCTTGATTGGTTAAGAGGGTCTACTCGTGCTAGAGAAATTTTGGCTTCATTTGGTCTTTGTCAGATAGCTGGTAGCTATCCTACTTCAGATCTAAGTGAAATGACCTGCTTAAACAAAAATGACTTGGTGGTGTCAGCTGTGCAACTTTTCAGAGAAAAAATGCATTTTGAAACCGCTAAATGGGAAGATGGTGATGATAATGATGAACAAAAAGATTTTATTTTTACTTCCTGTGCAGCAATTACTATTCTCCTTGTTGTTTCCATAATCTTAATTCGTTATTTCCGTTCTCATCATCGACCATTTTCTGAATACCTTATTGATATCGAGCAGATGGGTTCACCGGACAGATCAACAAGTTTAAAGAGCTCACCCGATATCTATAAGATTAAGAATACAGCATTTCTTGATTATGCCCTTGGAATCAATAAAGAACATATTGGAGGGAATGCGCATGCGATTTATAAGAATATCAGGAAGAGTGCTACTAATGCCTGGGTTTATGCAGATGCAATTCTTTCAACAGCCCCTGTTTATCGAGTATTCAAGAATGAGGAAGTACTTCTCAAGCCAACGAATATTCCAACAACATTCGAATTCTCGGAGAAGAGAAGGGTTATATTGCGGAAGTACATTGAAGCCGATCATGAAAATGTCGTTCGTTTCTACGGTATGGCAAAGTCGTCGGCAGAAAATTATAAACTCAAGCGAAATGGGTTTGCAAATCGGTGGAAAAAAATGCGAAGAACACAGCGTGATGGCGATTTGAAGACCCAGGGATATTCTGAATCTGACTTTGTCCTTCCCTGGATTTACTATGTGATTGTTGAGCCTTGCGTTCGCGGAAGTCTCTTTGAGTTACTCCACAGTGGACAATTTGAAATTTCTCAACCGATGAAACTGACTATTGCATCGGATATCGCGTCAGGAATGGCTTATCTACATAGTCGAAAACTTGTGCATGGAAATCTATCAAGTTTGACATGTCTTCTAGATAGTCGATGGGTGATCAAAATAGCTCGATGGCAAGACATCAAAGAATTTATTCAAACAGAGAGCAAAGGAAGTAAATGTATCCTTAAGAATACTTCTCAACGGCATGTGAAAGTCTGTTGGGACCCAGAATATCTTCGATTGGTATGGAGGTCACCAGCCCAGTTGAAATATTTTATAACAACTCATGGGAGTATTACTCTTTCCATAGGACGTCGCGCCGATCGAATGAGGTCGACGGAACACATCTTTTCGAAAAGAGATCATGCTGAGGGTCGAAAAAATAGGACACCTGAAAATCTGGAAATGGGAATTGAAGAGACATCTGGTACTGAGCATAAATCGATGGAGTGCGATGTCTACAGTTTTGGAGTGATTCTCACAGAGATTTGGAACCTTGAGGTACCTTTTCAAACCCAGCTGACCACATTTGAACATGAATGTCAACTTGCAGAAGCTATTTGTAATAAAGTGTACCAGCTTTCCACATCGCCTAATATGCCTTCTAAGGTAAATACCTCTTTCTTTCTGCCAACTTTGTCAACATGAATGGACGATAAATTAATAGCCTACTTAAGGAAAAAAGGACAAACCATTGATTGAATGGAATGAAACTCAATAAATAATGAGAAGAATTGATTATCCACCAAAGGGACATGTTAAGTGTACCGCGATTTTATTACATGTTTCTTCGCCTTTTCAGTTATCGAATAGGCACTACAATCTTATGCATATTGTAGAGAGGATGGAGAGTTAGATCAAAACACAAGTCCCACGACAGAGGTGCTAGTTGAATTTGTGTCCCGTTAGGCCGATTCAGCTGAAATCTGAAATGTTGCCCAAATATACTACGCATAGGAATTCTCATGGGAATTTTGAAACTAACGTTATTCGTTACGCAGTCTACTGCTTTTACTACCTTCAGTTCAATATTTATTAAGTTTCTAACGGCGATACAGTTTTTGTAAGAGAGAGAGCGTTATCAAAATAATCATGGACAGTTAGAGGACAGGAGAGTTATTGGTGAATGAGAAGGCTGATCATTGTTTTCAGAGTAAAATTTTGGAATATATCCAGCTGGGAAAACGATAATAGGAGTCGCAATGAACTTACTTTTGCTTCATTATGATATTATAAGCTTTAAGTACCATTTTATGATCCCACCTTCAACATTAAATGAATATCCAAGTGAAGTATTGGAACTTAGAATCCATTTTATCATTTCAGATACGCGATTTAACAGAATCCTGCATCGATCACTGTGACCAAAAGAGACCAAGCTTTCGAGATATCCTCAAAACCATGGCCAGCTTAGTATCCAAAGATCGATCTCTGGCTCACCATATGCTACGAGCGGCTATAGTGTAAGTTCAGACAATATCTCATTCCATTTGATATAACTTTATCTAAATATCCCCCCCCCTTTTTAGGAGGCTGAATGACCTGGACTTAACTTTGGTTCTTCGTGAACGAGGCAACACCTTGGTTAAGTCCCAACTTTGCCATAAACTTGATCAACTATTTTCGCCAACTTATAGCACAAAATTAATTAGCGGTAGCACACCAGTTCCGAATTCAATCAGTGGTTGCGTATTACCACCCAAGAATGCCATTTTGGCTGTCGTCACATTAGATGCCTCTTTTCTACAAACTGCTGCGACTTGTGATGAAAATTCAGTAAGCAAATTGTGTTAGCTGAAGTATTTGCTCATTCAATTTCTGGCCAAAACCAGTGCTCCTTATCAACCGCATCGCTATAGTTGAGTATGCAAGAGAAATTGAGAAGCCAAATTAGCCAATTAATCTCCTAAGTATTAACTACTTCATCTTTATTGCAAGGTGCGCTAGAAAGACTAGAAAACTTCGTGACTAGTGCATAAACGGGGAACTTTAACTGTTAGCGCGTTCTAATCAAGGAGGTTAGGATGAATAATTAATTCTCAATACGCACTTTGCACTGCACACAGGAGTTCATTATAACAGGTGGTTTTCAGGTCAACGACAGTGAATAACTTCGTTGTTGACGTTGGAGTGAGGAAGGGAGGGTGGGGGTGGGGGGGGGGGGGGGGG